GGTAGTAGTACTACATAATACAACACACACACACACACTACATATATATATATATATATATATATATATATATATATATATATATATATATATACATAACAAACAGACAATCACTTATGCAAACATACAAGTACATCATATATACTTACACCAGTGACATAGCAAACATAAAACCACTGATGCAAACATACAAGTACATCATATATACTTACACCAACCAGTGACATAGCAAAGATACAAGTACATCATATATACTTACACCAACCAGTAACATAGCAAACATACAACCGCTGATGCATACATACAAGTACATCATATATACTTACACCAACCAGTGACATAGCAAAGATACAAGTACATCATATATACTTACACCGACCAGTGACATAGCAAAGATACAAGTACATCATATATACTTACACCAACCAGTGACGTAGCAAACATACAACCGCTGATGCAAAGATACAAGTACATCATATATACTTGCACCAACCAGTGACATAGCAAAGATACAACCGCTGATGCAAACATACAAGTACATCATATATACTTACACCAACCAGTGACATAGCAAACATACAAGTACATCATATATACTTACACCAACCAGTGACATAGCAAACATACAAGTACATCATATATACTTACACCAACCAGTGACATAGCAAACATACAAGTACATCATATATACATACACTAACCAGTGACATAGCAAACATACAATCGCTGATGCAAATACTGAAAAACTGTTGAATTACCATCTCGCCTTTTGTCCCAGTCTTCAACCGAGAACTTCTCCAACCGTGTAATGGTGCCTTCCAGCATGTCTGAAGTCACAGCCTATAGTGGGGACATTCAAAATGGCATAGGAATGGATTATAAACGAGTAGCCCTGTTTGTCTGTAGGTGTGTGTGAGTATGTGAAATCGTATATGGATGGACCATTAATGAGTGGCCCTGTTTGTCTGTAGCTGTGTATGAGTATGCGAAATAGTATATGATGGACTTTTAATGGGTAGCCTTGTTTGTCTGGACATGTATGTAAGTAAGTGGATGTATTGAAATGGACTATAAACGAGTGTTCTTTACCTCCACAGATGTGTGCGAGGACGTGCAGAAACAAAAGAACGGACTATAGGCGAGTAGGCCCGTTTCTTGGTGTGCGTTTAGATCCGTAGTATTATTCTTTCACACCACTCTATACACACCTCTGTACTGACCTGTCGACAAGAGTGTCTACACACAGTGGTGATTCACAGGTACACTTGTACACTCACATACACACCTCTGCACTGAGCCAGCGCACACCGCCGTCGCGGATATGGCGAACCCGAAATCAACGATAGACATATATCTGCCGATTAGGGGCATTACATAAACAAGTGCTGGAATATAACCAAACACTCAAGCCCTAAACCCTGTACATACATCCACCCCCCCCCCCCCCACACAGCAAATGGTAACTCGCACGCACAACGGCACCAATAACTATGAACACACATGGCATCCCAGACTCGCCCACAGGCGGTGTGGCTGGTCCTAGGGCTACGGCCAGCCTCGCCTCGGGTAGTGAAGGAAGTACCACCGCCACTACGCCAACGCATACGTTCACGACTAGAGATACCTACAACGTCGGAAACAGACACCTCTCTCTCTCTCACACACACATCATCATCACCATCCCAGGGGATGCACACCACAGAGTACACCACCCATACCCAACGCACACACACACACACACACACACACACACATATATATATGTATATATCATCACCATCCCAGGGAATGCACACCACAGAGTACACCACCCATACCCAACGCAAGGGCTCGCAGCTGGAGAAGTCCGAGAACTCGTGCTCGTCGATGAGGGTGTATTTGGACTTGGTGGTCTTGTTTTTCGACGGTTCCCTTTTAGGTGTGGGTACGGCCGCCATTGGCCTGGTGGCGACTGTGATGAGCGTTATTTCGTCACGTGAGAAAATAGTGAAGAGATTGGGTTGACGCGTGATTTTTTCTGTGTTTGCTACGATGCTCACATGTCGTGGATTAAAATGCAGTGTGTAGATAGATGATCTCCACAGTCCCGCAACCTATTGCCAAGAGACTATTGTCGCGGGACTATTGTCGTGGGACTATCAAGAGACTATTGACAAGAGACTTTTGTCAAGAGACTATTGTCCAACGAATATCGTCAAGAGACTTCTATCGAGAAACGATTGCCAAGAGACTATTGTCAAGAGACTTGTATAGAAACACTACGAGCTCAATCTTCAGAGGGCTGTATGATAGAACAACTATTGAAGCTGATACGAACCTGAATTGGCTATTCCATATACATACATATGCACCTACCATGCCATATGCACTTCAGCAATAGCAGGATAGTAGGTAAAGCTGTTAGCAATTAAAAACAGACGCCACACGTGTCGTTTATGTTGGTACCTACCTGGCTGGGAATTACTCGGAGGTGTTGGGAACGTCTCGGGCGGAGGAGCTCTGTACAAAGACAGGGCACAGACTAACTACATTGAGTATTGGCCTGAGACCAAAAACATGTACAAGGTGCATGTATGTGAACGGATAATTGTTTGGGTGCAAGACAAGTACAGATGCCCTGGATACAGGACTTGTAGCAAACCATGGCTTATAGCATGAGACAGCGTCGATGCGCCGTACTCGACTGGCACATCTGTATCTAGGTGGTCTCTATCTAAGGTACACGCTTGCTGTGTGTAGCCTGTTCAGTCAAGACTATTGGGAGACACTAGCAGGGGAGTGAGCCGATCGGTCCAGACTGTTAAGCGCAGCGTAGAGTGCAAGTACTCGACCTAGCTCACATACTAAGCATAACATTATCCATCCAGCTTCGTCAGCTAGAACATAACTTAGTTTTTCCCGCGTGCAAATAAAAACGCACGCAATTTTTTTTCACATACGAACACTTGTCGACGTTGTTAAGCGCAGCCCAGACGGTATCTAAGGAGTGGCCGGGTTGTCTGCGGCGCTCAATACCACTTCGGAACTTCGGTCGGTTGTTGTGATCCAATAGCTCGTACATACACGCTGTGTACATTTAGTCAAAGTTAAGATGGTAGGTGTGTAGTGTGTCATTAGTGGATGTTCGATTGTATGTTGTATATGTCCTGTGTGGATTGAGTATATATATATACATATATATCATATATATATTTATATACGCAAGAATATACACCTAGTACATTCACATACATATGTATGTGTGCAAGACTGTATGCGTGCGTACCTAGTGTGCTGGTAGCTTCCTCGCGCACATCTGGTTTGGCGGCGCTCAACAGCTTGAACACGTGGTTGATTAATACACTATCGATGAGCTGCGATAAGAAACATAGAAATAAACGTTAATATAAAGGCGAGTCTCTCAATGTTTCGGTTGTATTGGATATGAACGCCTTAAAAAATACTGGACAAATTAAACAGAAAAGAAAAGAAAAATGCTACAAACCAGAAAGACCAATCTTTTATAACGCCAATCTGTCTGAACAGAAGACGTACACGATCTGCAATGAGCACAAATGCAAAGCCACAGACAGCAAACCTGACGAGACACAGGTCCTACAGAGGAATGTACAGAACCGTATATAGAAAAACAACACAACAACATACGCTCCCTTGCACAAGTCATGTGCCGCTATACCTGAGCTTTGTATACTTTCAGCAGCTCTTTTGTGATGACCAGCGCTTGCTGATTAATTGTCCACGCCTGGAAGTGCATGTGATAATCACGTCAGTATGTATGTACGAGTGCATACGTAGAATTATATATATATATATATATATATTTATATATATATTTATATATATACATATACATATATATATATATACAAATACAAATACATACATATCTATAGATATATACATACATATATATATATATATAAATGCTGGTATATATACCCAGAATCTGCTTTGCAGAGTAACTGCGAGCAGGCTTGGTGTGCTTGGCGGGGTTGATAGTTGTCATGGCCCTATCGAAGTGTAACGGGTCGCAGGTCAACAGGTCAAAGTCAGGTAGCAGGTGCGGGGCTCAAGGCAAAAGAAGCAGATTGGCGCGATGTCTTTGTCACGTACACGCGTCCTTCTTGAGCACGAGACATCGTGAACACCCGAGACCCAGAACTATACACAATGAAGATAAACCTCAAGAACCATCCACAATGAAGATAAACCAAAAGAGCCACGCGTCCATGTAATGACCTAGAAAACTATTAAGGTGCATGATGTACAGGTTGGTGGTTTGGCTCACGCCGATGGCGAGGCCTGGGCGAAAGCGTGCGTATTGGCGGCAATCTCAAGTTATATATATATAGCATATAATATAGCAATATAATAATATAAAACTAACACATTATAACAAAAAACCAATATAAAATCAAAATACTATATTAATATGATATATATATATATATATATATATATATATATGTATATATATATATATATATATATAGCATATAATATAGCAATATAATAATATAACACTAACACTATATAACAAAAAAACAATATAATATCAAAATACTATATTAATATGATATATATATATATATGTATATATATATATATATATATATATATAGCATATAATATAGTAATATAATAATATAACACTAAAACAAAATGACAAACAATATATCAAGATACTATATTAATATGATATATATATATATATATATATATATATATACATACATATATACATATATATATATGTATGTATGCATATAAATTTTTACAAGGTCATGCGCTTGTGACCAGATGCGTGCCGGTGCGTGACATCTAAGCTCAAGGTTACGCAGCCAATCAGAACAGAGCCACTGGTCATGCGCATGGTATTTTCTCGTGCGTAAACAATGTTCAGTTAAAACATTCCGCGGAGAGCGGTTCTGTCGCGCAAACGCACACACACGGACAGATATCGTGGATGCGGGGATGAAATATCTGATGGCACTGAGAAGAAAGCACAAAAAAGAAAACAGACCAAACATAGGGCAAGAAATGGGCCTATGGATTGTCCTGATTACAATCGATATCTGTAAATCCGAGTGGCAACAGCTGTCGAAAACAACTATATAACAGCTGTCAAAAACACCTCCTATATAACAGCTGTCAAAAACACCTACTATATAGCAGCTGTTAAAAACACCTCCTATATAACAGCTGTTAAAAACACCTCCTATATAACAGCTGTTAAAAGCACCTCCTATATAACAGCTGTCAAAAACACCTACTATATAGCAGCTGTTAAAAACACCTCCTATATAACAGCTGTTAAAAACACCTCCTATATAACAGCTGTTAAAAGCACCTCCTATATAACAGCTGTCAAAAACACCTCCCATATAACAGCTGTTAAAAACTCCTATATAATATTAAAAACACCTTCTATATAACCCCGTAAGCCACTGCTACAACGGCCTCATTCGACCAAGTGGCCGTGTTCACGTGCAATAACAACGACTGTACAAAACATGCCCAACCTTGTGCGCGAAAGCAGGCTGCAGTCTCTCGGTAACGGTCTTGGGGGTTGTAATGATCGCCAACTGCAGGAAGACTGCCAACACCCCGTCTCTGACCTGAAAGTTTGTTTATGCGACATTTAGGGAATATGCGACATTTAAAGAATATACGACATTCAGAGAATATCCGTCAGAAACATGCGAATATGTATATAAATATATTGCGACAATCCCAGTCAACCAACCAAAAGAGGACTAGCCGAAATCAGCGCATTTGCGACAATCGCGCGAAAGGCTATGAAGCTTTGTAGAACACCAATGCAAGACACTAGTGCAGACGCGTGATCCGAGAAAACGTTAACGGGGCAGAACACACGCTTCGAATTAGCACATGAGGTATTGGGTTTCCAGGTACTTCCCGTCTAACGCGTACGCATAGCTGACAAACACAAGTTGATTCGGACCCATGGCTATGTTCTCCTACCGTACGTATTTGTTTCATTAAGTTTATGACTACAGAGTCTTGGAGTTCATTGTTTGGCACATGCGACTGTCGTCTACCTAAGCCCCTGTGTCCCTGTCACACAGTTATTCACTTGCACTTCCCTTGCAGTCACATGTGTCTATGCGCAGACCACGCACGAGGCACCAGTGTCCCAATACTACCGCACACACCAAGAGTGTATGTTCATGTGTTGCTCTCGTTAAGTCTAAACGATAAGTTTATTTTAACACACGTCGGGTGCGTGCACTTGCCAACCACAGGCCATATTGATGGTACGCGTTTCATAACTTTCACCCATAGCGTTGGCGAGTGACATGCAGCTGGTATATACACACATACATATATACACACATACATATGTATACATAGAATATATACACACATGCATATATAAAATATATACACACATGCATATATACAATATATACATAAATACATATATCCACATAGAATATATACACACATACATATGTACACATGCAAATATTACACACATACACATATACACAGAATATACACACACATGCATTATACAATATACACACACATACATATATACACATGGAATATATACACGCATGCATATACAGTAAAGGAGGAAGTCAAATGAAATACACAGGCACAAGCAGAATGCAACCAAAGATCCAGTATCCACTTGCATATATGCACATACACATAAACATACACATACACATACACTCAAACATACCTCCTGTTTCTTGTCCGTAAGGCAATCAATGATAGCGTACATGCGTGCCGTGTGGCGTGCAACCATCGGCGACATCTCTTGGCACAGTAGCAGTAGGGCTTCCAGCCCACTGATACGCAACTGTGATGGGAACGCAAATGCACCGCAGTATAAGAAATATGTACCGAACTTTTACGTTGGAAGGGGCCGCCACCGCGATGTGGTGCAATTGGTTATAGTTCATACTATCTATGAATGATATAGTTGATTATACTTGATACTATCCGTGAATAATATGGTTAATTATACTTAATACTATCCATGAACGATATGGTTAAATATACATAACAATATCCAACAAAGGTGCATGCATACTTACACAAAAAATGGACTATGCCCACGAGTGCGTGCGTGAGCTATTGTCAAAATAAGCCAGTACGTATGCAGCTCAGGATCGCGCTCGTACGCATTTCCGGAACACATGTGACACATACACAATTAAATCCTCAATGCCAAGCATGCTAGTGAATATCATCACATAATTGTTACAGATATGTAATAGGAGATGCATACTATATATATATATATATATATATTTATATGCATATATACATATACATATACATATACATATGTATACATATGCATATACATATATACATACATATATATAT